TGGAGAAAACCCTATGGCGCAGGACCCGCTCGGACCCGCCTCTCTCAGCCGGCTAGTTACGCGTGAGAGCGACCTTTCGCCGCAGTGACTTTTTGGTGGGGGCACATTGGGGCCCCCCGAGGGGTGACTGCGATGCGATAGGCGCGGCTTGCGCGCTCGGTTTTGGCCTCCCCGCGCGCCTCCGACGGCCGCGCACCAAAGGTCGCTCTTGCCTGGGGTCACTCCGGCGTGTAGTCGACTCAGGACACGGTTGTTTGGTGCTGAAGGGCCACCCGTTGCTTTCCTGGCAAGCCTCGGCGGCGCCGCAGCTGGGCAGTCGGGCGCGCGCCTGCGACGCCCGGACGGGCGCAAAACCCGGGTCGCCCGACTTGCGCTGGCGCGCGGGCGACCTCCAGGCCGATCTCACGGCCCGTTGCCCCATCCCCCTTCACTCATGCTGCTGCTGCTGCTGCTGCTGCTGCTCATGCTCCTCCTCAGCGTTCTGTGTTGGCAGGCGGGGGTGAGAGAAGATCCGAGGCCGATGGGTGCGATGGCCAATTCTCGATTCCTGATGGCATGAGAAATCGTCGATTGCCGCCCTCCGTGAGAGGGCTCCTCCTCCTCCTCCTCCTCCTCCTCCTCCTCCTCCTCCTCCTCCTCCTCCTCCTCCTCCCTGCTGTGGCGGAAAGGAGCGAGAGGGTGAGAGGCTCGCCGGTGGGGGGGAGGGGGTCGAGCGCCACAGCTGTCCGCTCCCGCCTCTGGGGGGAATGGGGAGTTCGGATGCAACTCCTGGGAGGTCAAATTCTGCTTTCGCCCTGGTCCGAAATCCGGTTTAATCCCGCTAAATCCCGCTTAATCCCGCTTAATCCCGCTCAATCGGGCTTCCTCCCGCTTAATCCGAGGCCCACTCCGGCGTAACAGCTCCCAAATGGGGCCCTATCCTCCTTAATCTTTCCGACGAAAACCTCCCAGTAGTTACTTCCTAAGGGGAGGGAGAGGGAGAGAGAGAGAGAGAGAGAGGGGAGAGGGAGAGAGATGGAGGGAGAGGGATAGTTAGGTCGGCGGCTCGCCCGGGGGGCCTGATAGCCGACCGCGCCCACCAACGTGGGGATTCGCTATTGGGCGCCTGTCGCCGATCTATCGGCGAGGCATCGCCGATGTCCAGTCGATGCTTCCGCCCGGAGCTGGTCCGCCTCTGTCGTTGCCCCTTTCGGCGGCGCGCCTTGGGGGGGAGTGAGAAGGGGCGGGCCTTCTCAAGAGGCTCTGAGGTCCCCTGGCCTCCTGAGAAGTTCTCTCTCTAGGCCTTCCCCGAAGACGCACAAGACCTCTGGAAGGCGCGAGGGTCTCTGAGAAGTCCCGCCGCCTTCTGAGAAGGCCTCCTCCTCCTCCTCCTCATTTCCCCCCTCGCTCGCCGCCGATAGGGGCGGGCAGGGGGCGGACATCGGGGGGGGGCTACACTAATTGCACGTGCACCGATCCTAGCTAGGCCTATTCTGGGGCAATGGTCGGTGTGTGCGCGTCTTTGGCCGAGCCAGGGTCGCGTGTGCGTGTGCGCGTCTTTGGCCGAGCCAGGGTCGCGCGTGCATCGGCCCTGGGCCGATGCGGCCAGGGCCGGCGTGGGTGTCTAGGTAGGGGGGGGGGGATGCGGCCAGGCCGGCGTGGGTGTCTAGGTAGGGGGGGGGGGAGGGGAGAGGAGAGAGGGATATAGGGGATGGGTGGGGGGGGGGGGGGGCCAAGGGAGCAGGAGAGGAGGGGGTGAAGAGGCGAGAGCGGAGAGAGGGGAGGCCTCCTCCTGATTCCTTGAGAAGGCCTCCTCCTGCTGAGGAGGGGAGAGGGCTCCCTGATGTCCCCGAGGGGAGGACAGAGAGGGGGGACCCTCTGAGAAGGACCTCCCCCTCGCTCGCCGATGACTTGCTGCCGCCCGCCTCCTCTCGGCCCCTTGGCCGCCGCGGCGGCCGGGCCCAGCGGCGGGGCGCCCGGGGGCCGCCTCCCGATGCGGCCGCCCGCGGCGCGCGGCGGGCGCGGGGGGGCGCGATGGAGCGGTGCCCGCAGGCGTGCCGGGCGCGCGCGCGCGCGCGGGCCGCGGCCTTCGGCATCGCCGAGTCGCGGGCTGCGTGGCCTAGAATCCTTTGGCCTCCCGGCGCGGGCCCCAGGGCTCCTGGCGTCTGGACTCCAGGGCCAGAGGCACGAGAGCGCTGTCAGATTCCATCGCCCAATATGTTATGGCCCAGGGCTCCTGCGCCGAAAAGACTCCAGGGGCCTTGACTCCAGGGCCCCGAACTCCCTAGCCCTGGACTCCAGGGCCCAGGTCTCGCGGCCCCTTGAACACCAGGGCCCAGGTCTCAGGTCTCCCGAACCACGCACGCCAGGGCCCATGGCACTTGTGCCGTACATCCCAGGGTTCAGGACTCCTGCTTCTTAGTCGCTAGGGCCTCAGACTTGAGGACCCTCCACTCCATGGCCCAGCTTTCCTGAGGCTTAGATTCTAGTGTCAAGGCTCTTGTGCTCTGGACTCCATGGCCCAAGGCTCCTGAGGCTTAGATCAAAGGGCACAGGGCTCGTGGGTTCTGGTTCTCTGCTTCAGGGCCCAAGACTTGTCCATCAGAGTCGAAGATTCCTGGGCCCTAGACTGCTGCACCCGCGACTCCTGGTTCTGAGGCCCCCAGCTTCAAGCGCTCCGTGCACATGGGCCCTTCACTCCAGACCCCAGGGTTCGTGGGCCCCAGACTCAAGGGCACAGCGCTCATGTGCCCGAGGCTCCAGGGCGCACGGCTCTTGGTCCTGCGAGGCGCTTGGGCTTCAGACTCCAGGGCTCAGGACTCCTGGGTATCTGCTTCCAGGCACCAGGACTCCTGCATTTGCTTCCAGGCACCAGGACTCCTGGGACCAGGAATCCAGGCCCCCTAAACTCCACTGCCATAGACTCGTGGGCCGTAGACTCCAGGGCATTAGACGCCCCGGCCTCACCAGTCAGCCTGCCCCGCAGCCTTTGAGCCCTTGCCCCGGCCCCTACATCGGCCTTGCAACCTTGTTCTCAGCCTCGGCTTGGCACTGCCTCGGCCCCGGCCGCGGCATCTGGGAGTTCGTTCCGTTGGTCGTTGCGTTTTTTGTTTTGTTTGGCACGGGCCCACAGAATCTCGCCTCTCGTCTTAGCGCAGCTCTCAGCCGTAGCCGCGGGCCGAGTTCGTTTCTCGTTTTGTTGTGGCCAAACCCAGCCCAGAACCTCGACATTCGGTGGGGCACGAGGCCCTAGCCGTTGCCGCAGCCCGAGTTCGTTTTTTTCGTTTGTGTCTGCACAGGCCTCGAACGGGACCTCGCCCCCCCTAGCCCTGGCCCTGTAGCCGTCGCCGCAGCCCTGGTTGGTTTCTCGTATCGTTTTTCGTTTGTTCTCGCACCAGCCTCAAACGGGACCTCGCCCTTCGCTTTAACCTTGGCCCTGAGCCCTCGCCGCAGCCCTGGTTCGTTTTTCGTTTCGTGTTTCGTTCGCTTTCGCACAACCTCAAGCGGGACCTCGCCCCTGGCCCCGTAGCCCTCGCCGCAGCCCTGGTTCATTTTTCGCTCGTTATCCCACAGGCTTCACGCGGGACCTCGCCCCTAGCCCTGGCCCTGTAGCCCCCGCCGCTGCCCTGGTTCGTGCTTCGCCGCGTTCCCATTTTTGTTTAGGGTTTAGGGTTTAGGGCTTAGGGTCTACTAGGCGTGGCCACGAGTACACCGTGACCGCGAACCCACCTGCGGTGGCCGTCACTCCCACCCGCAAGCCACCCCACCATAAAGATCATCTCTCCCCTCGTTATAACCACATCGAATACAACGTCGACGACGACGACGACGACGACGGCGACGGCTGATGTGCGATCCAGTTGGCACGCGAGTGCTCTAACGGGCGGGAAGAGTCGAGTCGGGCGGAAGAGATTCTGCACGCATGCGCAGCAAATGCAATTTTGTGGAATAGGTGGATCGGCTCGCAACGGAAGGCACTTTGTATTGTAAAATACAAGAGATTGCGCACGCATGCTCAGCAAATGCTGTTTTTTGCCGTAGATGGAGCCGGTTTACATAACAAGGGCGCACTTTGTATGGTAAAATACAAGAGATTCTGCACGCATGCTCAGCAAATGTTTTTTTGCACTAAATGGAGCCCGGTCGCAACGGGGGCCGGGCACTTTGTATTGTAAAATACAAGAGATTCTGCACGCATGCTCAGCAAAAACTATATTTTACAATAGATGGAGCCGGGTCGCAACGGGGGCCGGGCAGTTTGTAGTGTAAAATACAAGAGATTCTGCGCGCATGCTCAGGAAATGCTGTTTTTTTGCAGTGGATGGAGCCGGGTTGCACAGTGACCGGTTTTATTGTAATTAGGGTTTAACAATTATAGGATTAGAAATTTAGGGTTTAGGGTGTCCTCTGTCAGCGCTTGCTGATCATCAATCGTGTAAGACCACCCCCACCCATAAAATGGAGCGGGGGTGGGGTAGTCGTGTTGAGGTGATATCATGTTGAGCGGAATCATGTTTCGGCTACGGGGCCAGCTTCCCTTTTCACATTCCCACCCCGCGCCCGTTAGGGCGGCGAACCACCCACGGCTTTCTCTATTAGGGTTTAGGGTTCATTCGGTAGTCGAGGTTCTCTTTCTGGTAGGGCTCCAAGGTTTAGGGTTGACGCTTTACGTCGGGGGAAAGAGTTTGGGGTGAAACGCCGCGCGGGCGTTTGATTGTGCGCTTGTGGCGCCGGCTCCGCTCGCTTCGCTCGCTCCGCCGATGCCGCTATTCTTGAAGTACGAAATCCAGCTGGCGCGCCCAGGAGCGCAGGGCCCGAGCGCTGGCCCAAGCGATCCCAGGCGATCCCAGGCGATCCCAAGCGCTCCCAGGCGCGCCTAGGCGCTCCCCGGCGCTCCCAGGCGCTCCCAGGCGCTCCCAAGCGCTCCCAGGCGCTCCCCAGGCGCTCCCCAGGCGCTCCCCAGGTGGTCCCAAGCGTTCCGCAGGCGTTCACCAAGCGCACCCAAGAGCTCCCAAGCGCTCCCAAGCGCTCCCAGGCGCTGCCAAGCAGCTCAAGCGCCCCCAGGCGTTCCCAGGCGCTCTCCGGCGCTCCCAGGCGCGTCCAGGCGCTCCCAGGCGCTCCCCAAGCGCTCCAGGCGTTCCCAGGCGCTCCCAGGCGTTCCCAAGCGTTCCCAAGCGCTCCCATGCGCTCCCAAGCGTTCCCAGGCGCTCCCAAGCGTTCCCAGGCGCTCCCAGCCGTTCCCAGGCGCTCCCAAGCGCTCCCAGGCGCTTCCCAGGCGTTGCCAGGAACCCCCAGGGGCTGCCAAGCGTTCCCAAGCGCTCTCAGGCGCTCCCAAGCGTTCCCAGGCGCTTCCCATGCGCTCCCAAGCGCTCTCCGGCGCTCCCAGGCGCTCCCAGGAGTTTCGGGCGCATCCAGGCGTTCCCAAGCGTTCCCATGCGCTCCCAGGCGCTTCCAGGCGCTCCCAAGCGCTCGTAGGCGCTCCCAAGCGCTCCCCAGGCGCTTCCCAGGCGGTGCCCGGGCGCTTCCAAGCGCTCCCCAAGCGCTCCCAGGCGCGCCCCAGGCGCTCCCCGGGCGCTCCCACGCGTTCCCAGGCGCTCCCAGTGCGCTCTCAAGCGCTCCCAAGCGTTCTCAGGCGCTCCCAGGCGCTCCCAGGCGCCCCCCAGGCGCTCCCCAGGCGTACCCAAGCGCTCCCAGGCGCTCCCAGGTGCTCCCAAACGCTCCCAGGCGCTCCCAAGCGCTCCCAGGCGCTCCCAGGCGTTCCCAGGCGCTCCCAGGCGCTCCCAGGCGCTCCCAGGCGCTCCCTGGCGCTCCCCAGGCGCTCCCAGGCGCTCCCAGGCGCTCCCAGGCGCTCCCAGGGGGGCCGAGACACGTATTTTCCAGCCGGAGCACTCAACCCTAAACCCTCTGGGAGCTCCCAGGGGCTCTCGCGGGGGCCGGATTCGCCACGCAACGTGTTCCGCCTATCAGAAAAGCCGTGGGCCCTTGGGCGGTGGGCCCCAAAACGCTCTGGGCCCCCCTCAGGGGGGTCCCGCGGGGGCCCGCGTCGCCAGGAAACGTGTTTTTCCAGCCGGAGCGCTCAGCTCCCAGGGGCTCCCCGCGGGAGCCCGCTTCGCCAGGAAACGTGTTTTGCCCAACAGGGAAACCCTGGGCCCCTGGGCGGCGGGACCCAGAGCGGTCAGCCCTAAACCCTCTGGGGGGTCCCAGGGGCTCTCCGCGGGGGCCCGCTTTGCCAGGAAACGTCTTTTGCCCGCCAGCCAGCCGATCGGTGGGTCCACCCTGAAAAACTTTAAGATACGAGGTCGAAAAAAAAGCTGCTAGCGGTGATTCGCGACCGTTCACCGTTTTAATGTTGGCTCATGCTGATGTTAAAAAGCGCGTGTTTGATTATTGTTTTATCGAATTTGGCTTTATAGAGGGAGTTTTGCATGTTTAGTTTTTTAAGTTCAATCAGGGTTTAGGGTTGATGTTTTGGGGTTGTAAGTCTCTTTGACGATCGCCCAGGCGGGCGCAGGATAATCGCTTGCGCGTAAGCCGTATCATTGATAATGAGATAAGGCCCTCGCGGGCCATGCCTGACGGCAACCGAGACTCAACCTGGACAGGGCCTGTCATTCACGCACGGCCGGGAGGTAGTCTGACTGCGAGGTGCCAGTTAGGGCGCTTGCCGCCTAAATGGATGGGTGGGTACGGCCCAAGCGGCCCTGGGCGAGTTTAGGGTTTAGGGTTTAGGGTCTAACAGGCTTGGCCACGATTACAACTTGGCCACGAACCCACCTGCGGTGGCCGTCAATCCCACCCGCAAGCCACCCCACCATAAAGATCATCTCTCCTCTCCTTGCAAGAAGATCGGTTCAAACGACGACGAGGACGACGACGAGGACGACCGCGCCATAGCACAGTGTTTTGCATAGGATTGTGGGTCGTTTGCATAGCCGGTCGTAAAGATCCCCATATCAGGCTCGGTCCAGGAGTGCGCCTGGGAGCGCGCATGATCAGGAAATAATGTGTTTTGCATAGGATTGTGGGTGATTTACATAGCAGGTCGTACAGATCCCCATATGAGGCTCGATCCAGGAGTGCGCCTGGGGGCACGCATGATCAGAAAATAATGCGTTTTGCATAGGATTGTGGGTGGTTGACATAGCGGGTCATAAAAATCCCCATGCTAGACTCGATCCAGGAGTGCGCCTGGGAGCACGCATGATCAGGAAATAACATGTTTTGCATCGGATTGTGGGTGGTTTACATAGCGGGTCGTAAAGATCCCCAGAGCAGGGACGATCCAGGAGTTCGGATGACAATCGGAACGCGTGGAGAGGTAGTGTTTAGGGTTTTGGCACCAAGTTACGGCGACGACGACGACGACGGCGACGACGACGACGACGACGACGACGACGACGCCCCGCGCCCGCGAGCCGCCCGCGAGGGCCTCGGCCGCCTGGCCCTGCTCCTGCACCTGGGCGCCGCGCACCTGGCCCTGTTCCGGCTGTGGTACGGGTGCGGCCTGCGGAAAGCTTTCACGACCGCCGCCGACGAAGCCAGCCCACGGCCTCGTTTGGTCGGGACGATCGAAGTTGGTGCGGAAAGAATGGGCACAGAGACCGACAACTGTGCCTGTTCATTCTGAACAGAACCCGCTTTCCGCGCCGCCGCGGGCGCTGTCCTTTGAAGTCGCAGCCGCCTGCCCAACAGCGGCCGCTGTCGGTTCGGGACAGCACTAGTTGTTGGGCATTGTACCCATTTTTCCGTACCTATGACGGGCGTCCAACACGCTGTTGGGCGTTCGTTTCGGGGGCAGTTCCCGTGGCCCACACGGAGGAGGAAAAGGTACCCCTACCGCTGCTCTCGCCTCGTGTCCCCTGTTTTATGTACGGCCTCCTGGGAGGCCCCCGTCGGCACTGCTGGATTCGCTTCGACACCCTGGTTAGAACGCACCCCGGGAGAGGCTCAGGGAGCAGCGGTGTCGGTGCTTTGTTGTTTCCCATTCCTGGGGCCCTCCCGACGGGTCTGGTCGACTCTGGCTCGGATCTTGGAAGTTCAAGTCGAGTCGACGGACGTTTGACGCAGGATGGACGCAGGAGTGGAGCGAGTGGCTCCAGGAGGGTCCCCAGCACGAGCGTCTGAGCTGAAGTCGGGCATGTCCTTTTTCAGGAGGAATTAATAAAGCAAAAAAAATCTGGCGACGATTGTTCGTGCCATTATGACTCGACCGTTCTTGACAATTGATGGCCATTTTGCATTCTCCTTCAAATCCGGGAGCCTTGTATACCCTCGTAAATCCGTCTTCAGCGCCGATTTTCGTCGATTAGCGTCTGGGAGTCGATGAGATGGTGCCGATTTAGCGTCGGCCTGCGTCAATTAGCGTCGATTTAGCGTCGATCAGCGTCGAGTTAGCGTCGATCAGCGTCAATCTAGCGTCGACTAGCGCCGATCCGCAAAAGCCGACAAGGTGGGATGGGAGGCGCCCATGAGTTGCCACCGAACTGTCAGAGGACTCGGAGGACCTCAGAATCGCTCGGACGTGTGAATGCTTCTCGGTGGAGATTATTAAGGAACATCCTGGATCATCTTGCGAAAAAGAAGCACGCACGAAACCGAAACAAACACAGGGAATGGACGTCCGAGCGATGGCCAAAGGACATGCCCGGCCGAAGTCGGAGCCTCGCCACGCGGCAGGCGGGCCCCGAGGTGGGCGAGCGCTCGGAGGGTCTTTCGGCGAGAGGTCGGCTGCAACAGTGTCCGCTCAGCTCTCGGCTGCCTGGCCACTTCAATCACTTCAGGCTTGCGGTCGAGTGTTCAGTCGGGCCTGTCCCTCTGCAGGAGGAATACTCAAACTTAGCCTGGCGAAAGACCCAACCATATGCAGTTGTGAGTACCGCAATTGTGAACATCTTCTTCGGTGGCGCTCCCTAGGGGGCCACGAAACGCTGTACTGGGTGGGTGAAACGCAGGGAGCAAGGACTGTGCTGGGTGGTGGCGGACACATGCGGGCGGCGCCAGTGGGACCTTCGGTGGAGCTCCCGATGGGGCCACGATACGCTGTTCTGGGTGGATGGAACGCAGGGAGCAAGGGCTGTGCTGGGTGGTGGCGGACGCATGCGGGCGGTGCCACTGGGACCTTCGGTGGAGCTCCTTATTGGGCCACGAAACGTTGTACTGGGTGGTCGAAACGCAGGGAGCAAGGGATGTGCCGGGCGGTGGCGGATGCATGCGGGCGGTGCCACTGGGACCTTCGGTGGAGCCCTGTATGGGGCCGCGAAACGCTGTGATGGGTGGGGAAACGCAGGGAGCAAAGGCTGTGCTGGGTGGTGGCGGACGCATGCGGGCGGCGCCAGTGGGACCTTCGGTGGAGCCCCCCTTATGGGGCCACGAAACCTTGTATTGGGTGGGTGAAACGCAGGGAGCAAGGGTTGTGTTGGGTGGTGGCGGACGCATGCGGGCGGTGCCACTGGGACCTTCGGTGGAGCCCCTTTATGGGGCCACGAAACCTTGTACTTGGTGGGTGAAAAGAGGGGAGACATTGCTGTACTGGGTGATGGCGGACGCATGCGGGCGGTACCATTGGGACCTTCGGTGGAGCTCCCATATGGGGCCACGAAACGCTGTGGTGGGTGGGTGAAACGCAGGGAGCAAGGGCTGTGCTGGGTGGTGGCGGACGCATGCGGGCGGTGCCACTGGGACCTTCGGTGGAGATCCCTATGGGGCCACGAAGCGTTGTACTGGGAGGGTGAAACGCAGGGAGCAAGGGCTGTGCTGGGTGGTGGCGGACGCATGCGGGCGGTGCCACTGGGACCTTCGGTGGAGATCCCTATGGGGCCACGAAGCCCTGTACTTGGTGGGTGAAACGCAGGGAGCGAGGGCCGTGTTGGGTGGTGGCGGACGCATGCGGGCGGTGCCACTGGGACCTTCGGTGGAGCTCCCTATGGGGCCACGAAACGCTGTGCTGGGTGAATGGAACGCAGGGAGCAAGGGCTGTGCTGGGTGGTGGCGGACGCATGCGGGCGGTGCCACTGGGACCTTCGGTGGAGCTCCCTATGGGGCCACGAAACGTTGTGCTGGGTGGGTGAACGCATGGAAGAAGGAGGAGGGAGGGGAGGAGGGGGAGGAGGAGGAGAGGAGAAGACGAATGCGGGGACCGTCTTAACAAAACGAGGACCCAATACCACAGGATGGTTGGGAAATAGTCCAACCATAGTCTGGGGACGACTTGTTAGATTTTGTTTTGACCACCTGGGGGCACATTTTGCGTATTTTTATTTGTTCGCCCAAAATCGCCCTGTAGGAGGACAGGTCCGAAACAAGTCGAGTTCCATTTGTGACGTAATCCCTCCCATTGGTTAATGCGCAGGCGCGGGGGCCCTGTGTTTTCCCCCATCCACACATCCACGCGCTCCGACACGCCGCGGGCACTCAGTGTGTGTATATGGCACAGTGGGGACACCATCTCTTGCAGTTCTCGGGCCCCTCCCTGGCGGGAGCCTCCCGCGGGGTCCCGTGGGGGCCCGCCGCGAAGCTGCTCGGGGCGAGAGGCCGGCCCCAGGGCCTTTGGGGAGGAGGAGCCCGCAGGGTCCCAGGCCCCCCTCGGGCCAGGGAAACAAATCACGACGGATGGCTTTTCCTTACCTGATCCCCCGCAGACGTAAACAAAAGATAGGGTGCTTGGCGGCGCTCCTTGGAAGCTACGACGCGCTCGCTGCTAGCTGGATCTGAACCGAAATCGCTGCGGACACACCGCCCCTCCTCGGTGAGCCCTCCAACTCCCAGCGTGGCCTCCAAGCGTAGCCTCCCAGCGTGGCCTCCAGGTGTGGCCTCCCAGCGTGGCCTCCCGGTTTGGCCTCCCAGCGTGGCCTCCCAGCGTGGCCTCCTAGCGTGGCCGCCGGTGAGACGACCCCAAGACGGACGAACGCGAGCAGGGACGGAGTAAGACCGCCCGGGCACCCTCTTTTTAATTTTCGGCCTCCGGGGGCCCTTGCTGGGCCCCGCGGGACCGTCAAAAGACGACTCAGGATGAAAAACTGGTCCGGGAGACTGGATCTGGACCTCCTGGGAGTGGCGCCATGCAAAAATCATGACGTCGCGGGTCTGGGGGGTCCAGGACCCGTTTCCCTCAGGATCGCGTGTCCTTTGCCAGCATGGCAGCAGAGAGGGAAACGTGCAGCTATGTCGCTGCCTCTCTCTCGCCGCCACCACCTGGGTTCTGCTCAGAGGGCAGCCTGAGAGAGGGCCGGACAGTAGCGGCTCGGGCATCTTCTTGCGCGGGCAGTACTTATATCCATATCCAGAGCGCCGTGGACTTTTTGGGAAAGAGGTGCCCCAACGCCGAGGCGCACTGGATACGGATACCATCAAGCCTCTTGGGGCCAGATGTTTAGTCATATCCAGTGCGTCTACGGTCTCTGAGGAAGAGAGCCCCAAGAATCCTAGACGCGCTGGATGTGGATATAACTATTGTCCGCATTCTTGGTTTCCTCATGACAACCTCGCGCCGTGATGACGACCACGACGGTCTGCATCCCTGGGCAGAGAGGTCCAGACCTATGCGGAGCCACGCTGCGGACGAGCACACGACGACGCCGGACGTGTGGTGGGACTCTCGAGGCTCCCGGGCGCCCTGCGGACGTCTCTGAGCTGAGTCCACAGGGTGGTACAACTCCCCCTTGGCACCTGTCAAACGACGCGAAGATCGGGACAACATCGGATCGGGGTAACTCGAGATCTCTGAGAATCGGCGGGTTTGGAGGATGTACTGGGCGCCGCGGCCGCTCCTGAGCGTTCCGGAACGCTCTGAGAGCGCTCCGGAACGCTCTGGAGCGATTTATCCCGATCCTAGCCCTTCGGGTGTTGCCAAAGGTGTCCCTGGCCCAAGGTGTCCCCAGGATTTCCAGGGAGGCCCCCACGGCCTCCAGAGCACCCCTCACGAGGCCCAGAGGGCCCCAGGGGGTCCAAAATGGCGCGAAAAGCTGGGGACACCCTGGCGGGGTACACCCTTGGCAACCCCCGAGCCCTGTTTTATACAACTCCCCCTCGGCACTTGCACACCACTGCCACGATCACGGCCCGCCCGCCCCCCGGCTCTGGCAAACGACAACGACGACGACGAGGACGACACCAACGGCGACGGCAGCGTGTCCCGCCCGCCCACCCGACATGCTCCCCCACGACGGCTACGTGTCCCGCCCGCCCGACCGACTCGCCGACTCCGACGGCGACGGCGACGGTCACTGCGATGGCGACTGAATTGGCAATGGCGGCGGCGACGACATGTCCCGCCCGATTAGCCGACTCGCCGCCGACGACGACGGCGACGGCCACCGCGACGGCGAACGACGAGGACGACGACGACGACGACGACGACGACGACGACGGCGAGGACGACGACGTGTCCCGCCCGGCCGACCGACTTGCCGACGACTATGGCGACGACGACGGCGACGGATACGACGGAGATTATGGTGATGACGGCGACGGTCACGTCGATGTCGGCGTTGTCGTCGTCGTCGTCGTCGTTTGTTGGTGGCGAG